ATCTTTGGACCCATATTTATAGGAACATTTTTTTTGTTATTTTTGGATATACTTTCTACCCTAGAAATATTGGCACGTTTTTCTGAAACACCCTGTATACATGTTTTTTCATAATATAACAAATACAGACATCTTCTTTTGTTATTTAAAGCGACCAACAAAAAGGTAATAGTAATTTTGAACTAGGTAGGTTCATTGTAAACCAACAGTTTAGGTATTTAAAAAAGTCTTTAGAACGTTTCCGCTTGTACGGTTACCTTTAGACCTCCCAACATTATTTTTATTCAACTACTTATAATAGTCCTCTATCACCTCAACACATATTCTTGTACTAAAATAGACAGGGCAGTTAAAAGTAACACTTTCCAGCTATTTATAAGTATCCAAAGCCACGGCTATATGTTATAGGCCTATAAAAACTTGACATCATAATTTCTTAGGTAGCGGAAAGCCTACAGTTGACGTTCCCAAAGCGCGTTCTATTTAAATTTTATTCCCCTAGATTTACGAGTGTTTACAAAAAAAATGTCCTAGTTTTATCCCAATGGCGCTAACTATGTAATTTGTAATCTATACCTGTTACGCGCTACAAAAATGTAGATTATCTCGTATTCTTGGATTCCTATAAGTTGTAAGAGATTCGTTAATTTGAACGTATTGGGGTTTTTCCAAAAAACTAGACTATCAATCGTTTACCTCCAAAAAGTATATTTTTATTCCTTTCACAATTTTATGAACGACAAACCTTTTACTCATAGTTTAAAGGTAAAATTTCACGTCAATGGTCATGTTTGCCCAGTAGATAACCAAGTGCCTATATGACGCATCCGATACAAACGGACACAGAGCAGCATTTATGCACAAAACTATGATGCTCTGTGGCTTGGCGCTTAGCTAACTACAATATAGAGATGGCTATTGGTCACTTATATGGCGAATAGCTATGCATAGCTACGGTGTAAATGGACAAAGAGCAGCATTTATGCACAGAACTAGGGTGCCCTTGGCCATCCAGGATGTAAACACGACCAGTGCTATGATGATAATAATAATAATAATAATAATAATAATAATAATAATAATAATAATAATAATAATAATAATAATAATAATAATAATAATAATAATAATAATAATTTAAAATAATAATGAAAAATAAAATATGAAAACGACAACATTCCAAAAGGAAAGAGGATTGGCAGGGCCATTTTTCACCTCCCCCTAAAAAGTTAATTTCATGAGCGTTTTTTAACATCAACAGAATGATTAGTATTTACAACAAATATTATGCACAACACAGTATATAATACGATATAGCCTGAGTGTTAATGGAGGTTAGTGTAGCAAGCGCCATAAATTTAATTTGTGGATTCAAATCTTTGCAGCTGTAGTAGCACTTTTTTCATCTCATTTCTGAAGTTTTGGATGGAAGGTGCTTCAAAAAGTTCTAGATGATCGTTTAGTAGATATGGAGCCGTGTAAGTAAAACATTTTTTGAATTTAGATGTTGTATGAACTGGAATATTGAAGTATTCATTGTTGCGTAAGGAAACTTGGCGGAGTGAACATCTCTTCTCTAAAGCAATAAACAGATATTTGGGTAATTTATATTTTAAAACTTTATATAGTAGAGTTCCATACTGAAGTAATACACGATACTTGAATTTTAAAAGATTTTCTCTCACGTAGTATCCAGTAATATGTTCTTGTACATGTATATTTTTTAAACAGAATCTCATGCAGCAGTTTTGTAATACTTGAATTTTGTGCTTCATTTCTTCCGTCAGAAAATTATAATATACTGTAAGCGCCATAGTCTAGGTGAGTAAGGATTAGTGCATTGGTAAGCCTTAATTTTATATTGCTGGTTAAGACATGTTTGTATCTCCAAAGTGATTTGTATTTACAATAGCATACTCAAAGTTTATTAATGACATGGTTCTCAAAACTTAAATTTGTGTCCAACAAAATGCCTAAATTCTTTGTCTCCTCTACAATTTCAACAGATGTATCACCTAAAACAATGGCTGTACTCATCAATCCTTTAAATTTTGAAATATTTAACCTAGAACCAATGCAGCAAGCTTTAGTTTTTGTGGGATTCAGTTTCAAACAATAATTTTTGGAATAGTTTGCAATCATTTCTAGATTTACATTTAACTCTTTAATCAATAAATTAACTTCATTTGGCTTGCAAGCTTTATACATTTGTACATCATCAGCATATTCCAATCATGTGATATAAAATTTAATAAATCAGATGTATAGAATGTAAATAGTAATGGAGCTAATACACTTCCTTGTGGAACATCAGAAATTACATTTTGTAAAGTGGACATTTTGTTAAATATCTTTGTGCATTGGGATCTGCCAGTCAGGTAGTTGTTGAACCACAGTAAGGCATTACTAGACAAAACCATAATATTGTAGCTTTTTACATAATACTTCATGGTTGACCATGTCAAATGCCTTACTGTAATCTAACATCACCAATTCGGTCACCATACCATCATCCATGAACTTGACTATATCGCTAGTTACTTTTATAAGCGCTGTGGATGTGTTGTGTAGTTTTCTGAATCCCAACTGTGTATCGGGAAGGACTTCATTTACTTCTGGATGGTCACGAAGTTGGTCAGCTACCACTTTCTATGCAAGCTTGGACATCACAGGTAAGGTGCTTACTGGTCTCAAATCCTTCATCTGTATAGCGTTATTGACTTTTGCTAGTGGCGTTACAACTGATTTCTTCCATAATGTTGGTACTTCTCTTGTGTTCAGGGATGTCAAACATACAGACGCGACACTTACTATCGATCCCTTTGATGTCTTATCAGTCTTATCACCAATCATTTGACCTACCCGTTATCTGTTACATTCATAGATTTGAGTTCATCGGTTTGACACCTGGTAACTAGATATTTTAAGGATGTAAAATGGGTTGGAAACGTGTCAGGTTATAAAAGTTATCTTTAAACTAGGTATATAATGTACTACTCCACGGCCTTCTCCTTAGAATATGACCCCACTTCTGTCAAGGAGGTTAGGCTTCCTTCAGACGTAAGGAAAAATCCTTTACTATCTGTTGCTTCTAGCTTTATTCATACAGTTAAGTGAGTTCTCTTTCAATGTGCGAAATTTAAATACATTTCTTTTCAAACGCAATAGCCAATAAAACGACATCTTCTTTGAAAAGTAGAAATAAGACAAACTATTTCAGCTTTGACCTCCGTTCATATCTATATGCGAAATCTGAAAAACGAATGAAAAGGATGAGAATTTGCTTGAGTAGCCACGTCCAAGCTTCACCATGCTTAACTATGCGATGACGAAGATCCACTTTAGAGAGCTTCTAGAGTTCATAGAAAAAAGAAGTCACTACGATGGTAGGTTTCTTAACAGCACATTGCCGTTTGAATCGATTCATGACTAGGATAACCAGCAGAAGCAAATGACAGCGAGGAAACCTAAATGCACTTTATGTGGGTTGCTCTGAAGGTACAATGCACCACGTAACTGGAAAGCTCTGTTTTGAAAGTTTTTCATCGGTCGCAGCTATGGCTGGTATTAATGAAGAACTACAGTCGATTTCTGAGACGACTGCGTTGAATTAGCTCGCATAAGAATGTTTGGAATCTCTCCTTCATCGACGAAAATGATTATGTTATTATTAAAATACCATCAGCAGAGTACAGTATTTCTTATAACGTTGCACAAACCATTTACTGACGATAAGTACTAAGTGGGTATCAAAATGGAGGAAGATACTTGAACAGAATTCTGAAGGGATTTTCAGCGCAGCAGACGTTTTCCTCGCCAGAGTTTGTGTGGCGTCCCCCCTTTCCCCTATATCCCCCTCTAGCCCCACACTACCCCATGGGTGTTTAGGACTTAGGCCTCCGTGGTAGTAGTGAGAATCGTAGGATCTTGGCTTGGTGGCAAACAATTTACCACCTACACTGCTGGTGATAACTGGTGCCCCGCCGATCGATCTACTGGCTGAGGAAAGATGTGCGCTCTATTAGAAGAGTACTGGAGCCAACGACAGAGTTAGAGAGGCTCTCTTTGTTAGATGGCAGGAGAGATGAAATGCAGCTGGTCATGGTGCATGGACTAAAAGACTAATTCCTGATACTAAAACCTAGATTGACAAGAAAGCGGTGCAGATTGTTTACTTTTTTTTACTACACAGTTTCTAATAGGAGGAAGATGATGCTCTTGCTCATCTTACTCCCATGAGATAGATGGGTTGACTGCCAGAGACAACTAGAATTGATGCTCGGCGAACTCGGCGAGAGGCTCACTGCTGACAACTTTGCCAAGCATGTAAGGGAGAGCAAATGGGTTGACATTCAACCAATATTGGGACAGAAAAACCGATCAAAAAAGAAGCTTTTAGCTTTACGAAAAATAGAAAGCCCTTTCGCAACGCTCATGACTGTAATATATTAACACTTATCGATAAAAGGATCTGCTCTTACTCAGTTTAAGCTGCTTTTGCATCGGCGAGAGGCTAACTGCTGACAACTTTGCCAGGTCTTTCGCAACGCTGATCACTATACAATATATTAACACTAATCGATAAAAAGATCTGGTCTTACTCAGTTTGAGGTGCTTTTGTATTTCTTGGAAAGTCTTATCATTTTCGGTTATTATCTGGATCACCAGGATTATATGGAACTCACACACTTTTATAAGTTTTCGCAGAAAAAGATGAATTTAATGTAAAATGTCAACAACTGTCAAGCTGGCGGCTTAAGCCTGACCGACTTATAATATGCTCCAGCTGACTACGTAATTTGCTTTGCAAAAAGCATGAAAAAACGTTGTATACGGTTGGTATGGTCGCAGAGACGGAAAGCAGACTGCAGCCTTTTCATACCGTGTTTATCTCTTCTATGGTTACTTGGGTTAATAAAAAGAATGTCCGAAATGCTCAAATGTCGCGATTATCGTTAGAAATGAAAAAAACTGAAGTTCGAAAAGTCAAAGCAACTCACCAATGCTTAACGCTGTACAAAAAAACACCAGCTTGAGGACATTTGATCGCATCTCGACGAGTAACCGGTACACTAAATCTAAGTACTCGACCGATAGAAGACAATAACAAAAGAAGAGCGACGAGATAGTGTAAGACTGCGAGAGACGGCCCCGCGGTTCTTGGCACGACTGAAATCGCGGGATTGCGGCTGAAAGTGGACAGCTGAAAGCGAAAGACGGCCGACTGAAACGGGGGTTCCTGATCTGTCTCTGGAGTTGTCTTCCGTGCATCTAAACACGTGACCATTGCCAAATAACTTCCAGACACATCAGCACAATGTATGCGTTCTATTTATAATCTTTACACTCGGAATCTAAGCGCCAAAGCTGATTGAATATTTGAAATTAGTACACTTGTTACTTGGCGACAGGAAGTGAGCGAAAAAAATGGCATCAAGTGGGCGAGCCTGAACGCCACTGTGACTGTTCGAAGCACTTAGTCCAGCTTGTCAGGTCTTCACAGTGATACAATAGATGCACTGGGGTTTTCTCATGATCTCTGCAAATTCGGCATGAGACATCCTCTGTTAAACTCAACACTCGAGAGTCTCACATTTCGATTTACATGTCTGTATCCTAAGCAGTTTCTTTTAAATAGGGTCTTTTGTTCCCTGCATTTGTCCCAACTGGCCATATCTCTGTATAAGAATTACAGTCACCGATACCCGCCTTGGTTTCACTCAGCTATTATTAAGAACATTAAACTTGAAGCTAAATTTAGGAAAAAAATCAACAGGTCTGCTTTTGTTGATGATCTACAAGAATTCAAACGTTTGCGCCGCTTGATAAAAAACCAGATTAAATCGGCGTATGATCAATATATTGAAAATATCCAGAATTCTTTAACAATTAACCCCAATGCTTTTTGGTCATACGTTCACTCCAAAAACAACACATCACGAATCCCAGGGATAATGAAATTTCAAAATAACTCTATAGATCAGCCTCAGGATATAGTAAACGCATTCAGTGAGTTTTTCAGCAGCGTCTATGTCACTCACAAGCCCCATAATAATGCCTCACTAAATCATAGTAATTTATTTGTCCATTTTCATCCAATTGAGGAAAATGAAGTCAGGAAGGCCAATAAATCACTAAAGGATAAGATGACATCTGGTCTAGATGGCATCCCGTCCTTTATAGTCAAAGATTGTGTGGAGGTGTTTGTTGGTGTTCTAACTAGGATTTTAAATGTTATTTGTCTTATAACAAAAAGATTTCCAGATATTTGGAAGATCGCTAAGTCCAGTGTTTAAGTGTGGGGATAAGTCAAATATTGAGAATTACAGGGCAATCTCTATATTATGCATGTTCTCGAAAGTCTTTGAAACAGTCTTGTACAGTCGCATTTACACTGCCGTCCAGCGTCAGCTGTCATTGCATCAACACGGATTTGTCGCTAATCGCTCAACCACAAATCTATTTATAATAACGCAGTACATCTCGGAAGCCATTGATAGTAATGAGCAAGTTGACGTTATTTATATCGACTTTTCGAAAGCTTTCGATAAAATTAACCACAAAACTTTATTAAATAAGTTAGGAGCACTTGGTTTCACAGATGATGCTAGGGAGTTGATGAAATCTTACTTATCCGATCGTAGACAATTTGTTAGCTATAATGGCTTCCAATCTGAGACCTACTTGGCACCTTCTGGAGTTCCTCAGGGGTCCAACCTGGGACCATTACTGTTTTTGATATTTATTAATGACCGCTGTGACTCAGTTGAATGTGAACGCCTATGCTTTGCTGACGACCTGAAAATTTATTCGCAGATAAATACTCCTGATGATTGTATCAAGCTACAACACCAATTAAATTTTGTGCTGTCTTGGCCTGTAGAACACAAGTTGGAGCTTAATGTGAGGAAGTGTAAAATAGTCAGCTATACCAGAAAATTAATGTTTGCGAATATCCGTGCTCTATTGATGGGTCTGTGCTAGAAAGATGCTCTGATGTACGTGATTTAGCATATAAATAAAAAATCATCAGAAGCATTGTCGGCTTATGGTTTCATAGTAAGGAATTGCAGGAATTTTCATAACATAAAGTCTATTAAGCTATTATATTATGCTTATGTTTGATCCAAAGTCGAATATTGTAGTATTATTTGGAGCCCTTACCATGAATGCTATGGCACAGCTATTGAAAGAGTACAACGGAAGTTTATGAAGTTTGTTCTGTTTAGGATTGATGGGACATATCCAGAGAGAGGTACAAGTAATGAGGAACTATGTAGTCGCTTAGACATGTTGACTTTGAAAAAACGTAGGTACTGTGCCTCAATAATATTTGGCTACAAAATGATCAACAATTTAATTGATTGCCCCATGATACTGGAACAGATCAAGTTTCGTACTCCAACGTTTGCATCTCGCAATCATAAAATATTCGGGCTTCCTAGAGCTAGGACAAACATTCTTCTCAAGTCACCGTTATATGTAATGTGCTCTAACTTAAACAGAATTGGATGTTACTGTGATATATTTACGACAAATGTTAATTACCTGCTAAAGGCAGCTAAGGCTGATTCAGACCAATAGCTCATGTTACAAATTTATACCTGTGTTGCATTTGTTGTTTTCTTTTCGCTTTTTTTCGCTTTTTTTGCTTTTGTATTATGTTTATAAATTGTCCTATAAATGGGAAACTGTTGGACAATAAAGCTATTATTATTATTATTATTATTCCGCCATTGTAGTGAATTTTTTTGAACCAGTCTTTTTTATGGTCTATTTGATTTGTGTTCTGGTCTCTAACAATAATAGTTTGACATGAAATGTACGGCTAATCTCTATAGATATCCGAAAAATAAATCTCATTGGCGTATGCCTTAGCCGATTTGTTTGTAACCAAAATTAAATAATCACTAGTCAGGGTGCCAGATCATACTCGATCTTGCTTAAGCCTCCAGTTTTCTATTGAAACATATTGAAGTTTGTGAGATCCATACAATCCAACTGTTCCATACAGTTGCTGAAAATGAAGATTTCTGTTGAACAAATCTTTTTATAGGTTTTATCAACTATTCAAACAGAAGATATAGATCTGGTACAAATTCTGTCGGTATTTCATTTCAGACATTTGTCAAATTGTTGTATAACACCTGCAGGTAACACCAAAATATTTTAATAAACTAAAGACAACATGGACGATTCCATGATTATACACAACCACCCGCCATATTCGTCTATTTAATATTAAATAATTATGTTTCAGTTCGAAATTACAGATATAAAGTGATAAACATTAGTGTAGTTGTGTCTAAATATAAGATTTGTGGAAGATTTAACGCAGATAAGTTCAGTTTTCTATCTTAAAAATCTAGACATATTTTTGATCATTATTAAAATATGAGTCAAATACGAAGCCAGTAGAAATTGCGTAACTACTTTGCACGATAATCACAATAAAATTTGGTGCGCAAGTAATTCAATGGCCCTATATCACAGTGTAGAAGTTTATCATATATCTGTAAGTAAACAAGATGACTGTAATGTGTTACTTATATATTCTTCACGTCGTCTATACAATACATAAGAAATAGTTTGGTTGCAGTAAAGTAGAATCACGTAACAGAATAGTTGTATAGTTGACAAAAACTGAATCTTGCACTGAGGCAAAAGTCCTATAGCGGCTGCAAGAGGCTTACACTTTTGTTGTATAACTGTTACCTGCACCCTTATACAACCTCTTAAATGACTGAAGTGTCCCATTAGGTGTGCCCATTCCGCTTGTATAGCTGTTCTAAGAGGGTTTTGCCATTTGTTCTTACAGTATACAATGCTGTGTAAGGAATACTCTATAATCATTCTTGCAATAGGAATGTTAATTGTTAGTTGGGAAAAGCTATCAAAAACATTAATATACTTTCAAATTTTTTGATTGAGTAAATACGAGGTCTGTAAATTAAGTAATGAGACTGTGGCTCATCAACCTCTTGAGTTCTTGTCACTCTTTTGTCTTCCCGAAGTTGAAAAATTACCTAATGGGAACTCCTTTTTGGACAGGCGAAGACATTCAAACGGCTGTAACCGGCCAGCTGAAGGCTATTCCAGAATCGGAGCTACAGCACTGCTATGAGGTGTGGAATAACCGTCTCCAGCTCGGTGTGGCTTCAGAAGGAAGTTATTTTGAGGGTAAAAATATAAAATTGTAATTCTATTTGAACAAAAAGCTTAAGAAGCAAAATCAGTCTCATCACTTAATTTACAGACCTCGTATGATGACAATATTGACTTGGCTCCTAATTTATTCCAGTGTGTTGGGAAATACCAAGAATTTAGATGAGTTTTCTTCAAGCATACGAAATACTATTTTTTCCAACACGCGAGAATAAAATGCATCATTCTAGAAAAATAGAACAAAATAAGCGATTTCAACTATAAAAATGCAATTTCGTCTAACTGTTAGTGTTAAAAATAGATGTTTTTGTCTACTATTCGTCGTTGTTAGTCCAGCAGGTGTAGTTACCCAGATAACAGACACACTCAAGGAGAGAGGGAAAGGAGAAAATAAGGAATGAATAAATACAGCAAAGAAAAGAAGTAAATCAGTTGAAGTGGGAAAAGTTTAAGTACTGATGGCTTGACTACTTAAATAATTTTGATACTCCAAAAATAATTTTGATGGAGATTCTGTAAAAAAAATAATTTTAGTTGGTCAGAAATTTACAACTTAGTTTTGAACGCAGTGCGAGACGCGGCCAGGGGTGATTATGAACTTACCTTACCGTATAGTCTACTCAGCTATGCAACAGATGATTGCTATCCGAATCCACTTCAGTATAGCGTCGATGTGTCTGTTGTTTTACGTACTCTCAGTGAATTGTCTCATTTGACATGTACCTTGAGGCTCTGGCTTTGCGTTGGGTTTTACAGAATTTGCAGTGTCAACTTGGAGAAAACACCAAACGGCGCATGCATATGTGAGTGAGGGTCTAATGACCATATTATACAGGGTGTTTCAGTTTATTGTTGCATAACTTTAAGATTCGATAGAACTTTTAAAATTAATGCATAAAGTCTATATAAACATAGGTCGAAAAATGCGTGGCTTCCGAAATACAGGGTGTTTAAATTTACTTTCTAAAATAGTTTTTTTTTAAATAGTTCGAACAATATTTGATGTATAACAGTGAAAATTGGTATACAAGGGTTTTTTGGTACGACAAAACGAACCATGGGTACAGTTTTACTGTAGC